TAACTGACGGAAGGATCATTTTGGTACCGAAAATGAAAGTTTGAGGATAGTTTTGGTACTTTTTAAAGCTGAGGGACAATTTTGGTACCAAAGTGACAAGTTGAGGGACCAAAATGGTACTTAAACCTTAATTTTATTAACGAAATGTTAACGGATACTAACAAAACTAACAGTCAGTTAATAAAACTGACAGTCATTTAACAGAACTGACAATCAGTTAACAGAACTAATAGAATATTAAAACATGATGTTAAATAAGGGTTATTTTCTTCAATTCATACAAATAAGAGGTTAAAAGTGTCATAATATAAGGTGATGGCCAAAACCTATCAACTTTGTAAAGTGAAGGGTTAAAACCTACCAATTTTGTAAGGTAAAGAGCTAAAAGTGTCATATTATAAGGTTAGGGGTTAAAACCTACCAATTTTGTAAGGTGAAAGGCTAAATGTTGGTTTTAGCCCATTAGAATTTGTGGTAAGTTGACAATGACGGCAAAAACCAATATTAAGTTCCTCACCTTACAAAATTGATAGGTTTTAACTCTTTACTTTATAATATTATAGTTTTAGCCCTTTATCTTACTAAGTTGATAAGTTTTAGCGCCTCACCTTACAAAATTGGTAGGTTTTAACCCCTTACCTTATATTATGATCTTTTTAACCATTCACTTATATAAGTTAAAGAAAATAGCCCTCATCTAACATCAGGTTATAACGTTTTGTTAATTCTGTTAGTTGACTATTAACATTCGTTAGTATTTTGTTATAAAAAATATCAAATTTAAATTCAATTTTATTTGTTAGTTTCATTAACGAATTGCTAACAGATACTAACAGTCAACTAATAGAACTAACAGTCAATTAACAAAATTGACAGTTAGTTAACAAAACTAACAGTCAGTTAACAGAACTAATAGAACTAATAAAATATTATAATATGATGCTAAATGTGAGCTGTTTTCTTCAATTCATATAGATAAGGGGTTAAAAGTGTTATAATATAATGTAAGAGATTAAAACTATCAACTTTATAAGGTAAGGAGTTAAAATCTATCAATTTTATAAGATAAAAGGTTAAAATATTATATTATAAAATTATGAACTAAAACCTACCAATTTTATAAGGTCAGGACTAAAAATTGGTTTTAACCGACAATGACAACAACTAGAGTCACATCATGGATGTGAGGTTTTCAGAATGCTGAGACATAAGTTTCAAACCCCCTATAATCTTCTATACAAGTTGGCGGGTCTGAACCATGAAGAACTGACCTGTATGTGCATTTTATAAAGATAGATAAATAATCCTCACTAGGTAATTTAGCACCATAAATGCATGTTTTGTACTACCAAACTGTACAAAACTAATCTTGGCTGGTTCCCAACTCATACCTTGTTGATTTTTAGTTTATTGGGATAAATAATTTAGCACATAGGTGGATATCATTCCATGCTTTTGGGGTTGGTAAACTGTAAGCTATAGTGGGACCCATGATTTCCATTTTCTTGGGGAATCTTCTGTGGCCATGGAATCAGGCTCAATGGTGGAAAACAACAGCTACAGTCCTCTTGGCATGGCACAGGCAATTCCCAGTTGGTTAATTGCAAAGCTTGCTTTCCTTCTCTTGTGGCCCCACCAGAAAGGGCTGCAGCTTCTTTGAGAGGGCCCCAGCACTCTACCTTACTGAATTCTGGAATGTTGGAATGGAAGTAAACCCATACCAGAGCTTCCAGTAATTCTGGGTAGTTTTTAAGCAAATTGCCATCTCCATGAACAAAGGCTTTCAACACCTAAATCATGAAAAATATTGAATTTAGAAGAAGAATTAACAGAAATAAAAAAAAAATCCTATAAAAAATAAAAAAACGTAAACAAGAAGAATAATTAAGAGAGAGATTAAAATTACCACAGGTAGTTCTTTGCAAAAGATGAAATATCTGAGTCTTGCAAACCAATCCAAGAGAAAATGGCCTCCACTTATGTGACAGTGAACATGTAAAGACATCATCCCCTTAACCTTCTTCCATTCTGCCACCACCTCATCTCTGTATAATTTGTTGTACCACCCCTGCAACTGTAACCAAACCCAACTTTCACTTCTTCCTCAGTTTCCACATAAAAAATACCAGAATCTAACACATGATAATAGAAGAAGGAGCAAGACCCCTGCTTTTCTCTGTTTGCCCTGTTTTCTTTTCAAGATGGCGCAAGAGATAGAAATTTTCCCACTTTTGAAAAAAAACAAAAAAGAAGAAGAAGAAGAAGAAGAAGAAGAAAACATATTTAGCAAAATAAGTACCTGAGAGTTATTTATGGTTTGTGATATGGCCAAAGTAAGCTTGGAGGTAATATCACTATGTGTGAGAGTATAAGTTCTTGGCAGGTTCCCTGGATGCTTCTTCTCATCCACTCCCAAAAACAGAACTTTTAACTTTGATGCCTCAAAAATTGCTGGTCCAAACAATCTTGCCACCTGCAGATCCCACCAAATCCATAAATTAATCAACATGAACTAAAATACTTTGAAACTTTTGATTAAATTTCAAGGGGACAAAAAAAGGAAAAGAAATTTACAGGAACAATAGCTCGACTCTTTTTCTTGGATCTTCTTCTGGAGAGAAAGAGAGATCTGTGCTGCTCAAAAACATAGGATTTTGGGTTTGAAGGGAGCATGGGAGTAACACTAGTACTCGAACTACCCATCTTCTTCTTCTTCTTCTTCTTCTTCTTCTTCTTCTTCTCCTTCTTTTATAGAACAAATTGGACCTCCAAATTAAGCACCCAAAAATAGAATCTGTACAATAAAAAACTAGTAGTAAGAGTAAGAGTGAAGGAATCACAAGTAAAGGAAGATAAATATAGCAAGGCTTTATTTAAGAGGGCTGGAAATGGAAGAGAAACTAAGGGAAACTTGAAAAAAGTCGAGATTGAAACTTGGAAACTTTGGCTTTTGGTAGCTTTGCTTGAAACAGACTTTGAAAAGATTGAATTTCAAAGGTTAATTTGTGTCGGCATGGCGGTTTTTTAGTTTAGCCTTCCAGAAAAAGAGGAAGCTCCATAATTGTCCGGGGCAGTACGGACGCATGGCCTCCTTTGTTTTCAACACGTTTCTTCACATGCAGGACCAGGGCTGTGCTGGAAACTGATTAAACAGTAAACCAAACCGAACCGAATTGTTGGCCAAACAAGAAAAAAACAGACTTAAACTGGGTGGATGAGGAATTAAAATTTTCAATTTAAAATTAAATTTTGAAACGAGTAGAATGAATTAAAAAAACAAATTAAAAGAGAAAATAATTATTTTTTATCATATAATTTATCATTTTATATACTAAAAAAATACTACTAAAGCCTGTTTGGTTATGGGAAAACTAAAAAATGAGAGGAAGAAACAAAAAAATATACTCCTAAACTAGTAATCAGGTAAACTAATTAGTAAAAAAATGTTTTTTAATCTATACTATATTTTAAAGATTCAGTCTTAATACTGAAAATTTCAAATTATTATTAATGAAATTATTTTTTATATTAATTTATTAATAATAATTTAATAATTTTAATGTCAAAATTATATTTTTAATGTATAATTTAGATTGAAATAGATGAAAATCAATTAATTATCTCCCTTTTGCAAGTATCTTTTGTTATTGTTGCCCTTTATAATTATTTTTTTAATACTAATAATGTAAATAACTTAATGATAGTTTTTTTAATAAAATAAAAAATTTTAAATTTAAATCATATAATATATAAATTTAAAATAAAAAATTATAACTACTTTCCTAAAAAAATACTTTATTAAATTTGCGGCAGCGCATTACTGTGTTGTGTGGCTTTTGGTCCAAAGACCTATAATTGATGGAAAAAAATAATTACGTCTCGGCTAAAACCTACTACTAAAATGGTACCCATTAGCTTTTATTGGCCACACCCACACTTGCCCACACCATCCCTTCTCCAACTCTCCCTTTTCGATTTATTCATTTTCTCTAACTTGTTTTTTTATTTTTTTATTTTTTCACATTACATAGATCTATCTATATAGCCTCATAGAAATTTGAAGTTTTAATTTTGATTTTAAATTAAAATTTAAAATTAATAAGTATTAGTTTAATTAAGCTTTTATTTGATTTTTTTTTCTTCTTTTTTCTAGCTTGATTGTGACTTAAAGGGTTTGATACCTTGATTAGGGGCTAAATTTAACAATAAAGTTTTTATTAAAAAATAATTAGAAAAACATTGAATAAAAATTTGATAAGTTTTATAATAAAATATTATTGGATTGTTATTCTTTTTTGTATTTTATTAATAATCTATTAATTTAATTGAAAATGTTTGATTCCCTTTAAATAAAATATTAAGTTTAAATTTTATGAATAAAAAAATAAGTGCTAGAAGAGTTTTTTTTATGGGCTCTGATATAATTCGATTTTAAATTAATCAAATTTAATATGACTTTCAAATATTGAGAAATTAGTATTAAATTTTTTTATATTTAATAAAAAAATTAATATAAAAAGAGTTAATAAAAAAGTTATCAAAGTATGTATTATATAGAAAAAGTTAAAGAAAAAAAATTTTAAGTATGAGAAAAAATTTTATAAATTAAAAATTATGTAAAAAAATAAAAAAATTATTTTTATTCTCTCTTTATTACGATATAAATATATGAAAAATGTCTAAATAACTTTCAAAGACGAAAGTTCAGAAAAATTTAAAAAGTAAAATGGCTTGCAGTCGAACGCCCCGAATATATGTCTGCCAAATTTTCTTCAAAGGAAAGGATTATTTCATTCTGAGGCTCTGTTTGAACTAGTCCTAATGGGCCAGTTGGGCTCACTCCCTTTGTTTA